TTTTTTTATTTCTCTTATAATAGGTAATTTTCTCGAAGTTGGCATATATAAAAATTATGTTTTTAGAAAGGCGATAGAAATGTGAAAACAAATAGGTGGAGAAGATATAAGTGCTGGCATTTTAAAATCTCAAATGAATTTATACAAAAATCACAGGTCCCTCTTTGATGATGAATTTATTCCGTCTACTGATACAGTTACTGATTGGTGGATGTCCATAGACCTTAAAAAAAATGAAGATCATATAAAAACCCTCGCCCTAAAAGTACATTCAGTTTCACTCCATAATGCTGCTTGTGAGCGGCTCTTTAGTATATTAAACTGGTATCTTGGAAAAAGACGGACTAGGTACACTAATTTTTTTGTCTTTATCATAATTTTTACATTATTATAATGTTTTTTTTCTTTTTTTTAGAATAAGCATTGAACGTCTAGAAGTCATAGCCCAGATGCATTCATTTTTAGTCGAGAATGCTAAATCAGAACTCAGTTATGTGGAACAAAATCTTTGCCAAGAAGACCTATTGTCTATTTTCAATAAAATTGAAAGTTCTATAGAAGATGAGTCTAATCTATTTAGTGAAGAAGAATCATTTGCTTTTTTGGAAGAGCTTGCTAAGGAAAATACAGAAGAAATGGAGGAAGAACTAGAAGACTTAGCTAATGAAAATTCAATGAATTTAGAAGTTGGAAACTTTATATCTTTGTCTTCCAACTTAGAGCCCAATGAAACTTCAAGTTTAAACGAAGAGGTTATACATAGAAATAAGGATTTTGATATAGATGATCTGATTAGTGATTTAGATTAATAATACGTAATTCATATTAAAGTCAGAAAATATATATAGGGAAGCACTTACAGATTTAATCACTAGAAGCTAAGAAATTATTTCCTGATGGAAATGCATCTGCAGAATTAAACAAACTATTAAAATAATAATAATGCATTATCGAAACAACATCGTTATTTTAAATAGATTGTACTGTTTTAATTATTCGTATATTGAATTTATTACTATCTAGTAAGTATTCACTTTTTTTTTTAATTGAATTATCGTAGGGTGTAAATATCAGTTGACTTAGCTGTCCAATTTTATTAACCCACTAGAAAATTATCGTTTTTGACCATCCATAAGTACATTGTC